TACTACATCCTCATCCTCTGGGGGCCAATCGGGGGAAGCCAAGGGGAGCCGAGAAAGGCAATCAGCTACCACATTTTTGTTTCCAGGCTTATATTCCACTTCATAATTGAAAGAAAGTAGTCTTGCAGACCATCTAGCAATATGATACCCACTCTTCCCAGTCCTTTCGTGGTGAGCAACGTTGTCAAAGGGCTGTGGTCTGTGCGCAACTTGAACGTGCGGCCCCACAGGTAAGTTCTCCATTTTTCAGTAGCCCAGACACAAGCAAGTGCTTCTTTTTCAACTGTAGAATATTTTTTCTCAGCATTACTTAGTGTCCTTGAAGCAAATGCAACAGTCCTCTCTGTGTTGTCCTCATGATGTTGTGTGAGGACAGCCCCAAGTCCATAATTAGAAGCATCAGTAGTTACAATTGTGGGCAATGCGGGACTGAATAATGCAAGTACTGGACTATGTACAATCAAGTCTTTCACCCTTTCGAAACGAACGTTGTCCACACTAAGGTTGAACTTCTCCGTAGTAATTCTCGTAACGGTTCAATGACAGAAGCATAATTGGGAATGAATTTTGCATACCAGGAGGTAAGACCCAAGAAAGAACGTAAGGTTTGCAAATCTGTTGGAGGAAGAACATTTGAAATTGCCAGGATATGATCTGGATCAGGTTTTAGTCCAGCCTGTGAAATTGTATGTCCCAGAAAAAAGAGTTCAGTTTGTCTAAATTTGCATAATAAGCAACCATAAACACATGAAAAGACCTAGGTTTACAATTTATGATTAAAACTCTATTATCTACACAATATACATAGACATAAAATGTAAAAACTTAAATATCTTAGAAACAGTAGCCAATCAGTTGTTTTAATTATCATATTTGAATTCAGCACATCAAAATACATAATAAATAGCCCATTTTACCTCTGAAGCAGACGACTTCTCAAAAATTGTAGACCAGTGTAATCACATGCAGCATCTAAACACCACACAACATCCCTCCTTAAGATGTCTTATTTCAGCTGCACCCTTGTTTCTGTTACTGTGAGACCAATGCTAAACAAACCAGGAATTAAATACCAGATGTAATCAATCACAACACTTCACACTTCTGTAGTGCCTTGACTAGTGACATTCATCCAAAGGGCTCTCTAAAGCAGGTGAATATCATTCACTTTTACAAACAGCAGGCCAAACTGTGCACTCATTTACAGCAGAGTAAATCAGGAGTAACTCCACTGGCGACAATGTGGCTACACTGGTGTAAGTGGCGGAAGAATCAGGTGGAAGGAATCTGAGCCAGAGAGAGATTAATTGGCCTGAACAACAGTCACACAGCAAGTCAGCAGCAGGCTAAAGGAATGGAATGCGGGTATCCTGACTTTTACTCCTCCAGTCTGTTAGGCAATATTGCCACTGTGTTCATAATAAGTACCGTGGGATGAATAAATGGTGTGAATGCTAACAAAATACAAGCTAGCCTGAGGCTGCTCTTTGGGGTCCAGCTAGTGCTTCCTCACCTCCTGCAAGCCTCGAACAAGCCAAAACTGGATCCTCAGCCACATGAAATGTCTAAGTAGCATAATAATAATTAACACCAAGTCAGTCTCCTGTTCTCTCTATGACCCAATATAGACTTGTCAGAGGTCTGATGATCAGACATAAATTTGTTGGGATTTACTGATCCTACTAAGTTGTCCAGTGGGTGTGAGACTCACTAATGATTACTTTGCATTTTGAGTTCTAACAAGAGCTGGCCAGAAAAAAGGACATCGTTTTTGTGAGAAATTTATCAAAAGCCATATTTTTTCTCCACTGAAAAAAAGAAAAAATTCTTCAGTCAGCTCTAGTTCCATCTAAAAACAAAACGTTTTCAGCTAAGCAGAACAGCTAGAGACATTTTTTCTTTAAAACGTTGGTCTACATCAGGCATCCAGCTCCTTCCCCCAATCTCATCAGTGCCAAAGGGCTATTCCGTTATTGCTATCGGAAAATCTTAACTTTTAAAATTAGAGTTTAACCAACTAAACTTTGATCGTGTGCATGAGATTTCAATTAGCAGAGTCCAATAAATCTAAGTTTTAACTCTCTCTCCCTCTTTGTTTTGCAACGTAAAAAACAAAAAATAAAACAAAACAAAAAGCATAGAACTGTTAGATTTCTTTAAAACTTTGGCCAACACTTCTTCTAGGAGGCAGAGTGGCCTAGTGGATAGCACACTAGACTAGGACTCAAGATCTGTGTTCTATTCCTTGCTTGCCACTGCTTCAGTTTCCTCATCTGCAGAGTGATGATGATACTTTATCTGCTTTGTAAAGTGCTTTGAGATCTCCTGATAATAACACTATATAAATATTGGGTATTAATACTGGGGTGTAATAATTCAGGAAACCCTAGCCCAATGGAGTTCAAATTTGGTTTGAAAAGTCTACCTCCTCCCCAGATACGCTACCAATTTTAACACCAATAGTCTTTTGCTTGTGGATATTAGAGGGTGGACAAAGGCTCACATACAGTGGAAGTTGCAACCTTAATTATGGAACAGATATTGCCACTCTATAATATTACCTTATCCATACATACAGCCATAAATATACACTTTCTCTTACACACAGACTGCACAAGTACTTTAGGATTCTTTGTGTGGAAAGAGGCTATATAAATGCAAGTCATTATCTTTGGGTATGTCTACACTACGGGATTACTCCAAATTTACAGAATTTGATTTTTGGCAACCAATTGTATAAAGTCGAGTGCATGCGGCCACACTAAGCACATTAATTCGGCGGTGTGCGTCCATGTACCAAGGCTAGCGTCGACTTCTGGAGCGTTGCACTGTGGGTAGCTATCCCATAGCTATCTCATAGTTCCTGCAGTCTCCCCAGCCCATTGGTATTCTGGGTTGAGATCCCAATGCCTGATGGGGCAGAAAACATTGTCGCTGGTGGTTCTGGGTAAAGCCTCACCCTTCCCCCGTGAAAGCAACGGCAGACAACTGTTTTGCACCTTTTTTCCTAGGTGAACTGTGCAGACGCCATACCACGGCAAGCATGGAGCCCGCTCAGCTCAAGACAGCAGTCATGAACATTGTAAACACCTCACGCATTATCGTGCAGTTTATGCTGAACCAGGACCTGAAAAACCAGGAGAGGAGGAGGCATCTACGGCAGCGCAGCGTCCATGACGACATGGACACAGAATTCTCTCAAACCGCGGGCCCCGGTGCTTTGGAGATCATGCTGTTAATGGGGCAGGTTCTAGCCATGGAACACCAATTCTGGGCCCAGGAAACAAGCACAGACTGGTGGGACCGCATAGTGTTGCAGGTCTGGGATGATTCCCATTGGCTGCATAACTTTCGCATGTGTAAGGACACTTTCATGGAACTTTTTGACTTGCTTTCCTCTGCCCTGAAGCGCCAGAATATCAAGATGAGAGCAGCCCTCTCAGTTGAGAAGTGAGTGGCAATAGCCCTGTGGAAGCTTGCAACGCCAGACCAGTCAGTCGGGAATCAATTTGGAGTGGGCAAATCTACTGTGGGGGGCTGCTGTGATGCAAGTAACCAAAACAATCACTGAGCTGCTGCTACCAAAGGTAGTGACTCTGGGAAATGTGCAGGTCATAGTAGATGGCTTTGCTGCAATGGGATTCCCTAACTGTGGTGGGGCGATAGATGGAACCCGTATCCCTATCTTGGTACCGGAGCACCAGGGCAGCCAGTACATAAACCGCAAGGGGTACTTTTCAATGGTGCTGCAAGCACTGGTGGATCACAAGGGATGTTTCACCAACATCAACGTGGGATGGCCGGGAAGGTTTCATGACGCTCGCATCTTCAGGAACACTAATCTGTTTAAATGGCTGCAGCAAGGGACTTACTTTCCGGACCAGAAAATAACCATTGGGGATGTTGACATGCCTACAGTTATCCTTGGGGACCCAGCCTACCCCTTAATGCCATGGCTCATGAAGCCATACACAGGCAGCCTGGACAGTTGTCAGGAGCTGTTCAACTACAGGCTGAGCAAGTGCAGAATGGTGGTAGAATGTGCTTTTGGACATTTAAAGGGTCGCTGGCACACTTTACTGAGTACCTCAGACCTCAGCCAAACCAATATTCCCATTGTTATTGCTGCTTGCTGTGTGCTCCACAATCTCTGTGAGAGTAAGGGGGAGACCTTTATGGCGGGGTGGGAGGTTGAGGCAAATCGCCTGGCCGCTGATTACGTGCAGCCAGACACCAGGGCGATTTGAAGAGCACATCAGGAAGCGCGGCGCATCAGAGAAGCTTTGAAAACCAGTTTCATGACTGGCCAGGCTACCATGTGAAAGTTCTGTTTGTTTCTCCTTGATGAACCCGCCCCCTTTATTGACTCAATCTCTGTAGGCAACCCACCCTCCCCCTTCGATCACAGCTTGCTTTCAAAGGAAATAAAGTTACTATCGTTTAAAAATCATGTATTCTTTATTAATTGATTATAAAAAGAGGGAGAGAACTGACAAGGTAGCCCGGGTGGGGTTTGGGAGGAGGGGAGGAGGGAAGGAAAAGGCCACTTCAAAAGTTCAAAATAATGACAGCCTTTCGCTTGGGCTATCCACTGGGGTGGAATGGCAGGGTGCATGGAGCCCCCCCCACCGTGTTTTTATACGTCTAGATGAGGAGGCTATGGAACTTGGGGAGGGGGAAGGGTGGTTATACAGGGGCTGCAGCGGCACTCTGTGATCCTGTTGCCGTTCCTGAAGCTCCACCAGATGCCAGAGCATGTCCATTTGCTCACGCAGCAGCCCCAGCGTTGCATCCTTCCTCCTCTGATCTTCCTGCCGCCACCTCTCATCTCGAGCATCCCTCCTCTCTTCACGTTTGTCCCTCCTGTCCTCACGTTGGTCCATCCTGTCCTCACGTTCACTGGCATCTTTCCTGTACTTTGATACCTTCCACTCATTCAGATGAGCTCTTTCATCGCGGGTCGATTGCATGATTTCCAAGAACATTTCATCTTGCGTGCGTTTTTTTCGCCGCCTTATCTGAGATAGCCTTCGGGACGGAGGAGAGAGGCTTGAAAAATTTGCAGCTGCAGGAGGGAGGGAAAAAGGGAGAGAAGTATTTAAAAAGATACATTTTACAGAACAATGCTTATACTCTTTCACGGTGAACAACACTATTCACATTAGATAGCACATGTGATTTCGGTACAAGGTCGCATTTGCATCTTATATTGCGTGCCTGAGGCTTTGGTGTTAGAGATCACAGACGCAGGTCTGGGCAACAGAATTCAGCTTGCATGCAGCCATGGTAAGCCATTGTCTTTCGGCTTCTGCAACCTTCATAAAAGCAGTGCCCTCCTTTCCCATACCAAGCAAAGCCCGTTGAGTGCTGCGGTTTTCCTGTTAATGTGCAGCAGCAGAAACTAAACGAAACCCCCACCACGCATCCAATTCTCTGGGATGATCGCTTTACCCCTCCCCCCACCATGTGGCTGGTATCAGGGAAGATCCCTACAGAAACCAAACTAAACCCCCCCATCCCATCCAATTCTCTGGGATGATCGCTTTACTCCTCCCCCCACCGCGTGGCTGGTATCAGGGAAGATCCCTGCAGAAACCAAACTAACCCCCACCCATCCAACTCTGTGGGATGATCGCTTTACCCCTCCCCCCACCGCGTGGCTGGTATCAGAGAAGATCCCTGCTAGCCAAACACGAAAAGCTCAGCGCCAATGCCCCCCCCACCGCTTGGTTAACTACAGGGAAGGATTTCTTTTCAGCCACAGGCAATCAGCCCAGTAGGAACAGCCACCTCTGTCCCCTTAATTAAATTTCCGTATTTCAACTAGGTTACCATGAACGATATCACTCTCCTGAGGATAACACAGCAAGATAAAGAACGGATGTTGCTTGAATGCCAGCAAACACCGGGACCATAC